CTAGGGTGCTGCCACTCGAGCCCGTTCATCTGGATGCCGAGCCGCATGGCCGTGGCGACGGCGGCGGAAAAGGGGCCTCTGATGGCCTGCCAAGGAGAGCCGTGCTCTTGAAGTCTCTGCCTCGCGCCTTCGAGGCCTTGCTTCACCACCCCACTAGGAACCCAACCGTCCCAGAGCGAGGTAGCGATAGAGAGGAGAGGAGAGACGTTGAGGTGGTACGCAGGATCGATGCGAGGAATGCCAGAAAGCTGCAGCATAAGGGTGATCGAGCGTCCCGACACCCTCTGCGACTGCACGGTGGCCTGATGAAGACGAGCCCGCGCGAGCTCACGTCCGTTGCTGCCCATCACCCCCGACCCGTAAGAGGTGGAGGCCTGAACGGCAGCGCGGACCATGTGATGCATCCGCCTTTTACACAGCTTGCTAGACAGATAGAGGATCTTTTTGTGACGCACCTTCGCAGCAGTGAAACGCCCTGACTTGGTGTGTCTCTTGATCACGCCTCCTGCAGCATAATCGATTCCAAGATTGCGCTCACTCTGTACACCAAGCACACACTTGGCTTTGAGCGCAAGGGCTAAGCGTGAACGAAGCTGAGGACAGGAGGCAAGCACACGTGACTTATGCTTGCTGACTGGCAGATGCACGGCGCGCAACTCTTGATGAAGCAAACGTGTGGCTTGCACCAATGTGTCTCGCACTTGCTCAGAGGATCCGACCTTGCGCAGCCCCGAGTCATCCACAACCACCCCGATCTGAACCTCACGAGCAGTGCGAAGAGGGAACGCTGCTTGCACTGTATCAAGCGGTGCGAGCAGCACTAGCTGCAGCATGAGGGTGGCAAAGTGACAGCCTGGGAGCACCGCTTTCTCGGTGCAGATGGGGGCCGGGGTGGCCCCAGCATGGTCCAGGACCCGCGGAGCCCGATACAGGCTCACCAACAAACGCAGCTGACGCAGGGGAAATCCCGTGGTCTGAGCCGCCTTGAGCAGCTCTCCGTGCCGAACGTTTTCAAACGCCTTGTGAAGGTCTAACAGGACCGTGCCAGCGAAAAGATTGCGTCCCTGGGCCCACTCGGCGAAGGCAACTTGAACCCACACAAGCCGATCCGACCCCCTCCCCCGAGTCGACCACCAGAACTCCCGAAAGTTCTGCTGCTGCCAACGCCGAATGAGGGGTCGGCGGAGTCGTCCTTGGACCCTGGACGTGACGTGCATTAAAGCGATGGGTCTCAATCCACCTGTACGTTTCAAAATGAAGACAATTTTTGACCACAACTGAGGCCACTCGAAGCTGCTCTCTATGGTAAATATCAGCTGGCGAAAACACTCAAGGCCCTCGTCTGGCAACTCGAGCAACTGACGGGGCGAGATCTGGTCATAACCTGCGCCGCTGCTGGCTCGAAAACTTCGGAGACACGCTTTTGAGATCGTCCAGATCGAAATCAGGCAGCTCAGGGCCCATATCTGTCGGCCACAGAAGCGGGTCGGCCAGGGATCCCACCTCCCAATACGCTCCCCACTCGGAAACCAAGAGCGCCATCTCCTCTTCCTGACTGGCTGGGGCTGGCGGCAGCGAGCCGTCATGTCTAAAACTGGGGCTGCTGTGCCATGGGGTGGGAGGCTTGGAGAGATTGAAAAGGGCTCCTCCGCCTGCGCTGCTGTGAGACTTGACCCAGCTCTTCCAGCTGGCGTCCCTGTGCTGCTCAGCCGCGCGCTGATGCTTGGATGAGAGCTGTCTGGCGCGGTGGGCGAGCTCCGCCGAAAGCTCCCAGGAAAGCGAGGGGGCGGTCCAGAGCAGAACAACCCAAGGCTGCGCACTGGCATCGGTGAACCTGCACCCTTGCTCGGCAAGCTTCTCACACGACGACAAAGTGGCACGACGATACGACGGGGACTGAAACTTGCCGAGCTCGGTAAAGACTTGTGTCACACGCCTCCACCACGTGGCGAAAGGCGAGAGACGCGGATAGGGCATGGCTGACGGCTCGCGCGCAGCGGCACGCTTGCGCTGCAAAGGTTTGGCCCTACCTTGGTACAGATGCGCCTCGTCACTGCTGATCTGGTAGACGTCAACGAACTCGAGCTCCATGGTATGCACGAAGCTCTCCCACAACTGTTGAGTGCTCACCTGTGCAAGCGCCTGCTCCATAACTGACTGCCAGCGGTTGCTTTCTCGCATGGGTCCGTGAGGCCGTTGGCGAGGGAACATTCGAGGCGCGCGAATCTGCGGTAGCGTGGGGACTTGGCGCAGTCCCTCGAGAGACAAAAGAACTGGGTAATGCGGCGTGGTGCCAACCTCGGTGAGCACGGCGAGCTTGCGACGATACTGCAGACCCTCTGAGACGATGAAGTAGTCCAGCACCCTGCCTTTTCCACCCGTACACGTGGCTAGCTGAGGGGAAAGAATGTGTCCAGAGACAGCCTCGACCCACCCTGAGCCGACCAGCTCGTCGGGGCTCAAATTCCAATCTCCTGAAAGAATAAACGGCATGCCGAACTGCCTGATGACCGCCCCAAGCTTGCACAAAAGATCCCAATTGAGCGCCGATAAACCCTGCGAGTCATGCATGTACACCACTGCCCATAGGATACCACCAGGCACGACTCCTGACATGTGCCTGACTGCGATGCGCGCTGGCTCAAGAACTGGAGCTTGGCCAACTAGCAGCGAAAGTCCGTGCCGCTGCTGAACCATCTGAAGGAGACCACCTGTAGTGCCTCCCTGCCCTGTTGCTCTGGCTGCGGTAGCCGAAGCCTTCCAGCCCATGTGTCGGGGCCTTTGCTCCCAGCCTGCGCACTCAATGAAGTGATGCTCCTGCACACCAACAGCGTCCGCGTCGATGACTGACTGTGAATTGAGAATGGTATCTAGCCCTGCTCGGCCTGAGACATTGGCGGTGACGAAGACCCACGTGTTAGGAAGACGAGTCAGCAGCCGACGTCTTGGCCTTCTTGACCGCGTGCTCCTGCATGGCCTGCAGAAGACTGGTGTAGAGGGCGCGGCCGACCTTGACCTTCTTGGGCTCCCCGTCGGCACCGTCGTCGTTGTCGGCTCCCTCGTCGCCCATGGCGTCGTCGTCGCCACTGACTGGGATGCCCTGGGCCTTGAGGAAGCTGTCGAAGAACTCGGGCTTGCCGAAGTGCTCCCAGAAAGAGGCATCTGGCACGCCATGCACACCAGCACCCGCAGGAGGAGACTGCTCCTGTTGCTGTTGCTGCTGCTGCTGCTGTCGTGCAGCCTCGGCCTCCTCATCGGCGCGCTGCTTGTCCATCTGCTGTTTGACAAGATCGGCGATGGGCTTGAGCGCGGCGGCTGCGTCAGGCAGCATGTCTGACAGGGCGGCGGCGAGGGACTGCAGCTGTGCGAGCGGGTCAGCAACAGCGGCCGCGCGGCCTCCGACAGCTGCATAGGCGGCGGCGGCTTTGCTGGCGGCCTCGTCTGCCTTGGCCTTGCACTCAGCCAAGCTGGTGGCGCACTGCTGCATATGTTGCATGGCTTTGGCCGCCGCAGCCGCTGCCTTGTCATACTTACTCTGGGCCTGCTCGAGCTTCTGCTGAATGGCGTCGGACGCCTGCCGAGCGGCACGCGCCGTGGGCAGCACCTCGCCATTGGAAAGACTACGAGCCGCGGCAACTCGAGCCAATTGCTTTGCAGACCACCCCTGCGACACGATGGCATAGCCTGCGAGATCCATCTTGGCGTACACCGCAACGAGCTCCTCAGACAAGACAGGCACCGGAGGAGCAGTCCTGGGAGGCCCGTCCTTCCACTTGCCTGTGGGTGCCCGCTGTGCTGCGACCCTCGGCTTGTGGGGCTCGGTGCCGCAGATACGTCCTCCTCCTCCTCCTCCTCCTCCTCCTCCTCCTCCTCCTCCTCCTCCTCCTCCTCCTCCTCCTCCTCCTCTTCATAGGAATCGCAAGGAATTCGTAGGTTTCTGCATATTTCGCTGGGAATCCATAGGCTTCTGGATATTTCGCTGGGAATCCATAGGTGTCGGTAGGATTCGCTAGGAATCCGTAGGTTTCGGAAAGATTCGCTAGGAATCCATAGGTTTCGGTAGGATTCGCTAGTAATCCATAGGTTTCGGTAGGATTCGCTAGTAATCCACAGGTTCCGGTAGGACACTTTGCCGGCGTGCACAGAGTTCTGCGTCCAACAAGCATGTGCGTACCGGCGAGGCGAGGTCAGACGGTGAAGCCGGGCAGCCGACCAGCCGGTCAGCCGGTGAAGGGTCCCATCTGGCCGGTGAAGGGTCCCATTCGGCCGGTGAAGACATCTTTCTCGACGACGACGTGGGCGAGGAATGGCGGCAGCAGGCATAACAGGAGGAGGAGAAGGGGGCGGAAGAGGACGGCGAACCGACGAGGCTAGCACCGCCAATTTCGACACCGGGGTGAGGTCAAGAGGTCCAGAGTCCAGAGGCCGAGTCGCAAAAGACTTGGGCCGATGCCGCGTTAAAAGATGGGGGCATGCCACTTTGCCTCTTTGCCTCGGATCGACAGAGCGATCACGGTGCGAGGTTAGGCCACCCTGCGCCCCTCCCTCTCCCACATGGTCTTGATCAAAACTCCCCAAACTACCAATGCTGTTTGAATGTTTTTCATCGTCGCCGTCGTCACCGTTGTCGCCGTCATCGTTGTCGCCGTTGTCGTCGTCGTCGTCATCGTCGTCGTCGTCGTCGTCGTCGTCGTCGTCGTCGTCCCCCTTCAAGGTCGGTCGCACTGGCCGCAAGACCTTCGCACTAGATCCTCAGAGGAACCGGGTCCCGGACCATCGGGAGCTCCCCCGATCCGGTCTGGCATCCTGCGGAGCCACTAAAAAACAAGCTGGTCAAGCTCACCATCGCTCGAACGTCCATTCCCCGTGCATGCTCCGGTCTCGTGTGTGTTTTGTGTTCGCAGGATTGTACAGGATGGTCCACGATGTTCTCCGCTGAGAAATACGACGCACACGTCCGAGCGATGCCAAGTAGGAGAAAAAACGCATCTCACCCTCCTCCCACCAAACCACACCCGTCCTCCGCCAGTCGCGGGGCGCCCACTACAGACAGGCGCACTGCGGGCAGGCAGGCGGACAGGCCAGCCGCCCTGGACACAGAGGGGCGCGCATCTAGCCATCTCTCGGACGTCCATTCCCCGTGCACGTTTCGGTTCCGTGCGTTCATTGTTCGCAGAATGATCCTGGATGCCAGGAAATCACAGGTAAATGATGATGATCCTGGATTCGCTTCGATGGTCCTGGAAATAATGATGATCCTGGATTCGCTTCGATGAAATCACCGTTCATGGATCGCACGATGATCCTGGATTCTCTTCGATGGTCCTCGCCGAAAAATAACGCACACGTCCGAACGATGCCGAGGCATCAAAAGTTGCAGCTGAGGAGGGGGGGAGGAGGAAAACGCCAAGCTCTGTTCACCGAGGCCAGCCTCGCGCGCGGCCATGGGCTTGGTGGCGCGCACCTTCCACATGGCGATATTTCTCCGACGACAACGCCGAGGACGACGAGCACGACGGCAGCCCATCATCCCCTTGTTAATGCGGCAAAACTTGTGTCCATATCCACTGCAGCTTGGAGTTCCGGGATCCCTTCCCCAGAAGCCCACAGCGCACTGAATATGAACACAATTATGCCCCTAGGGACTCGAACTGAGTCCACATCCGGTGCGCCTCGCCATTGAGGCGCCAAATCTGAGAACGTCGAAGACATACTGGACAGTCACTCCTCCTCCTTCTCCTCTTCCTCCTGCGCACGCACTAAGCGCTCATGGGATCCGACCCCCACGAACGCCCGACCTTGATGGGGCATTGCCCACCCCGCGACCGCCTGAAGCTAGCGGCCGCAGCGCCGACGGGGCCCGAGGAGGAGGAAAGGACGAGGAGGAGGAGGGGGGAAGAGAGGAGGCGCCGGCCTTCCTCCTATTCCTCCTCCTCCTCCTCCTCCTCCTCCTCCTCCTCCTCCTCCTCCTCCTCTTTTTCCTCCGATGGCGACGACGGCGAGAGAAAGACAACGACGACTTAGGCAATGACGACGACGCTGAAGACGGCGGCGGCGGCTCGCCCCCGCCTCTCCGGGGGTGGAGGAGCGGGCGTCGGGGAGGCGCAGGGGGGGAATGATCATGAGGAGGAGGAGGGCAACGATAATGAGGAAGAGGAGGAGGAGGAGGAGGAGGAGGAATGATCATGAGGAGGAGGAGGACGACGATAATGAGGAGGAGGAGGAGGAGGAGGAGAAGGAGGAAAAGGGGGAGTGGCACTGGCCAGCAGGGACGGGCGGAAAAAGGGGAGGACAAGCAGATCCAGCAGACGGCGGCGACAAAAAAGCGAGACACGGCCGCTGACCTTCCTTGGGGGCTATCCCACGAGCGCGAAGCCACAGACTACAGCCGCCCGATTACGGCCAGGACCTTCTGCACCGTTTTTGCCAACTCCTGCACGGAGGAGTAGGAGGAGGAGGAGGAAGAGGAGGAGGAGGAGGAGGCCTTGCTCGACCTCGACAGCCGGCCGCACTGCTGCAAACTCAGCCTGGACGTAAGCAGCGCTCACAACGAGTTCGACCGGGCAGCCGCGGCGACAGCTGTGTCGACCATGGTTCCGGACCTGCTGCCTTGGGCTCGTTTGGGCCTGCGCACTGCTACCACGCACGTGCACGCGGCGCGCGACGGCACGCAGACCCCCCTCCCGAAGGAGCGCGGCGGGGACAAGGGAGACGCTCTCACCAACCAGGTGTTCCCTCTGTGCTACCTTGGGGTGGCTGGCGCCGTGGAGCAGGCAGCAGCCGCAGCGACAGAGCCGGCGCGGTGCTACTGCTACCAGGATGACCTGGACGTCATCTGTGACCCGCGCAGAGCTGAGGCCGCCGAGGGAGCCTTCGCCCGCGCCTGCGCCGCGGCTGGCCTCCGCGGCAACCCGGACAAGACGAAGCTGAGCCCGGGCCGGGAGGTCGACGTGGCGGCGCTCCATGGGCAGCGCGAGCTGGAGCCTCGGGCCTTATAGTGCTCCGCCACGGCGCGCTGCCGCCCGTCCCAGCGGCCCCCGCCGCTGCGCCGGCCGCGGGGAGCCTCCTCGCCGCGGGCAGCCCCGAGGTGGCTGCGCTGCAGACGGTCCGCGGGCGGCTTTACCAGAGACTCCGCGCTCTCCGGGCGGCGGGCCTCGACAAGCACGTGGCGGTGACCCTCCTGCGCACCAGGACGGGCTCTGACTACACTTTCCTGGCGCGCACCTGCGGACTCCCGAGCGAGGAAGCGCGGGCCCTGGACCGGGCGCTGGCCGCAGAGTACGAGCACGCCCTGGGCGAGGCGCTGGGCGACACCGCTTGCCGGAAACTCTTCCTCGCTGGCGCGGCCGGGGGCGAAGGGCTGCAGAGCGCGGAGCTCCCCCCGCGGCGCACGCCGCCTCTTGGCACCTCTGCTTGCCGCACTGCCTGCGGCGGCTGGGCCTGGAGAGCGCCAGCGCCTTGACCGCGGTGAGCCCCTGGGCGCGCCGCAGCCTGCCGGCGGCCACAGCGACGCTCCGGGCCGCTCTGGGAGACGACACCGCCCACGTGGGCGACGAGGCACTGGCAGCAACGCAGCACACTCTTGCTACGGCCCCCCTCGCTGCGGCTGCCCGCCTCGCTGCCGACGAAGCGGCCGCGGACCCCCTGGCGGCGGCCGCCCTGCGCTCCGCTGGGGGCCCCGGGGCGGGCGCGCTCCTGCAGGTGCCGACGCTGCCCTGCCACCGACTGACCAACGCGCAGTTCGACATTGCGCTGCGGCGCCGGCTGCACCTCGACCTGCCGGGCTGCACAGGCCCCCCGCTGGAGGCGGGCGCAGCGGGGCCGCGACAGCCGAGGCTCTGCCAGCACCGGCACCCGCACGGCGGGATCTGCGGCGAGCCGCTGGACCCCAAGGGGCGGCACGCGCGCGGCTGCGCCGTGGGCGGGTGGCTGGTCCGCCGCCACGACGCGGGCTGCGCGGCTCTCGCGGAGTGGTGCGAGGAGCAGGGGTGCACCGTGCACCGCGAAGTCCTGCTCCCCCACGCTGCGCCCGCGGGCCCCGAGGCGCGGATGGACCTCGTCGTCCACGCCCCGCGCCTTGCTGAGCCGCTCATGGTCGACCTGACCGTGGTGAGCGCGCTCACGCAGGACGCGCTCGGGCTCGGCTCTGCGCGGCGGGACGGCGCGGCGGCGGCGGCTGCGGCGCGGCGCAAGCGGGCCCGCTACCCCGGGGTGGCCGTGGTGCCCTTCGTGGTCGAGGACCACGGCCGCCTGGGCGAGGAGGCGCTGGCCCTGACGCGGCTGCTGGCGCCCGCGCAAGACACGGAGCGCTCGGCGGCCATCCGGCGACTGCACCAGTCGCTCGGGTGCGTCCTCCACCGCAACGCCGACGACGCGGTGCTGGCGGCGACGCAAGCGCAGGGCTGGGCCGCCGGCGCCCGGCGCGGGAACCCCGGAGGGGGCTGAGCTGCCTGCTGACAGACCTGCGCTACGGGCGCCCCGCTGCCGCTGGGCAGGCCGCTGACGCCGCGGGCCACGCCCGAGCCGCGCGCGCGCAGGCGCCGAGCTGACGGCGCCGCCCGCCGGGCGGGCGGCGGCGCCGCGCTGGACCGACGGCGGGGCGCGGGCAGGGCGGCGCTGCGGCGGCCGCGCGGAGCTGAGCGCTCGACTGGCAGGGGCGCTGGCGGGCGCGGCGCTGCTGCCGCTGCTGCCCCTGCGGGGGGCGGCGCTGGGGAGACGCGCCGCCGCGGCTGGGGCGGACAGAGCTGGGTGCGCAGCGGCCGCGGGGCCCAAGGCGCCGAGCCATCAGGACCCGACGGCGGCCGGGGGGCGCAGAGCTGCGGACGGCGCCGGGGGCGGGCGACCGGCGCCCGCGCTCGGCCACGCCATGCTGTCCGTCGGCGCCAAGCTCCCGTGCAAGCGAGGTATAGGCCCCGGTCGGCGCACCCCCTCGGCTCTGAGGCTTGCATGCCGCTGAGCGGTGTGCTTGTCCTGGGGTTGGGGGGCTGCGCCGGCTCCCGACCACAGTGCTTCCGGCGCGCGGCAGACCCGCGTCCGCCGGAGGAGGAGGAGGAGGAGGAGGAGGAGGAGGAGGAGGACTACCTTGCCGACGCCTGCAATTCTAACACTCTTTGCCCTCGCGGGTTCTCCACGTGTCTGTTTCTGCCTGCACCTCCTGCACCTGTCAGTATGCGTTCAAGCAGTTTTACTGGTTGCTCTTGCCAGCGGACGAACGATACAAGCTTTCCACCTAGAGTCCGTTCAACGCAGAATGAGGAGCAGCGAAAGTGGAAGCAGGATGGCACGTGAGGATGTGGAGAATGAGGGAGAAGAGAAGGGAGGATGCGGGAGGGGGTGGAGGAGAGGGCCGAGGATGACGACGAGGTCCTGTCCTCATCATGATGCCCCCCTCCCCACCCCTGCCCTGCCAGCCTCAGGGCGGCGACGACGACTGCGAAGGTAAGGCGACCACGACAAGGGCCACGACGAGGCCGACAGCGACGGCGACGCCTCCGACGGCGACGACGAAGGTGACAGCGACGCCGACGACGCCTCCGACGGCGGCGACGCAGACAACGGCCACCACGACGGCATCGACGCCCTCGAGGCCCACGGGCCTAATTCGGTCAGGGCGCCGCCGCGGCACAGAGCCCCTCGCTCTGGTGCCCGAGCAGCCCCAGGCCCTCCGCCGCGCCGCTTGGCCCGTCCGGGGTGCCCGCGCGGCGCCTCCGAGGGGTCGGCGACGCCGTCGCCGTGGCCGCCGCGGCCACCGCCGCCGCCGGTGGCCTTCGCCGCTGCCGCGGCCGCGGCCGCCACCGCCGCCGACGCCAGGGTGGAGGATCTGGGTCCAGGGGCGGCCAGGAACCGAGTTGCTTGGCGTCGGGGGCTAGGCAGGGGCCGTCTGCGCCGGCGGAGGAGCCAGCTAAAGGGGGGCACCGTTGTAGCGAATTGGTCATCGTGCAAGAGAAGGGAAGGACGGAAACGCGGGCGGCCGCGGGGAGGGAACCAGGAACAGATCAGGCGGGACAGAACAGCTCTCTGTCAACGCCGGGGGGGGGTTGGAGGCAGGCAGGCTCGGGGCTTTTCGAGAAGAAGGACCAGTGGGACTGCTGCCAGGCACGGGGTGACCTTCAGAGTCTTCCAGAGGCCGTCGGGGGTCGTCGCCGTTCGTCGTCGTCGTCGTCGTCGTCGTCGTCGTCGTCGTCGTCGTCGCCGTCGTCGTCGTCGTCGTCGACGTCGCGGCCGTCGACGTCGCAGCCGCCGCCGCGTGCGTCGATACCGCCGTCATCTTCGCCGTTGGCCGCGGCCTATGCAATAGCACCCGCTTTTACCGGCTAACTGGGCAAGTGCTCGAATTCCTGGGGGTATCCGAAGCAAAGCAAGAGGAGGAGGTGCGGAAAGCACACAAGTAATGAGACCCCCTGCTGCTCAATCGTACTCTTCCTCATCCTGCAGCTCCCCTCCTCCCCCTCCTCATCCTCCCCCTCTTACTCCTCAAACTCCTCCTTCTTCTCAGCATCATCATCATCATCATCATCATCATCATCATCATCATCATCATCATCATCATCGTCATCATCATCATCATCATCATCATCATCATCATCAGCAGCATCATCATCATCATCATCCACGTATCTTGGCTGTACTCCTCCTCTCGCACATGTGGTCCGCTCTCGCATGGGTGGCACTCTTACTCAAGCTGTTCCTCCTCTTCCTGATTGTTATCACCCATCCTTGTCGTCCTGATACGTCCTGATTGCCCTCCTTCACATATGACTCGTCCTCCGCCTGTTACGCTTCGTCCAACTATTCCTTATACTCCTCCTCCTACAGTCAAAGTGTTGCCATATGCATGGGGCCTTGGAGAAGGCACGATACTCCTGTTGAGCCTCGAAATCACCTACATACATTCACGAATCATACGAACATCAACGAATCGAGCGACCCAAGGAACACCGATCCCCCTCCGAAACCAACGCGGGTACTATCCCAAAACGAAAACTGTACTCCATCTAGAACTTCTGCTGAATCCGATTGTTCCTCTGCTTACCCCTGCCTCGCTGCCTCGCTGATTGTCTTTATTCCTGATTGTTTGGTCGGGCATGTCCCCCTACAGGCTGATTTTTGATGAAAGCTAAAACATTGGCAAAATATTCAAACATGGCCCACAATAATCAAAACATCGTCCCCGTTCTATTTTTCTCACTATTATTGAAGTTTCCCCCTGTGGAAGAACACGCACGACTTAACCTTATTGGTACGTCCTACTGCCCTGCCACCTAGCTGGCCGATCGCAAGCGGATCTGAGGGGTCTCACCCGACCTGTCTAACACAAAACAAAATCAGTTTGGCTCGTCTCGGCATGGGCTCTCTCTGTCGCCGGCGCTGCCCACTGCGTGGCAGGAGTGGGACTCGGCGCACCTCCCACGCGAACGGCCGAAATGTCGCTCTCGCACTGGCGCCGCACACCTTTTGCTAGGGAGTGGAACTTCCTCGCTGGCACGGCGCGCGCCTCCCGACGCAACACGTCGTCGGCGCGCGAGCTGGCGAAGACGTCGCCTCGGCGTCGGGCCGAGTTCACCTGCAGATGACGCCCCGGCCGCGACGCGGCGCATACGATTCACTGGCACATTCTGGGGGCCACATGCGAACCCTACCCCTACCCCCCACGATTTCTGAGGGGGAGGGTGGGGCTCACTTCGCTCAGGAGCTCCCGAACGAAGTGAACCCCACCCTCCCCCTCAGAAATCGTGGGGGGTAGGGGTAGGGTTCGCAGGTGGCCCCCTAACATTCTGGGGGGAACCGCGCGAGTTGGCAACGTGTCGCCCCCGCCCTTGCCAGCCTGGAGCAGATCCCTATCCCTGTGCTGGACATCGCCTCCTCACGATGCCGATCTCAGGGATTCCCTTCGCTTCTGAGGGCGCATCCCTGAGATTGTCATCTCCTTTTCGCGTGTCAATCTTAGGGATAGGGCTCAGTTCGAGGCTGGTGACGCCCGAGCCCCGTGCGCAAGCCGCTCGGCGGTGGCGCTCCCGCGAGCTGCGCGGCGCACGGCCCGCTCGCCGAGCCGCACGCCCGCGGCCGCCGCGGCGGGGCCGCGCGAGAGCGGGCGACGTGCCGACCTCGCCCGAAAGCGCCGCGCAGCTCGCGAGAGGGCCCCAGCGAAGCCCAGGAGGGGGAGCGCGGACTGACATGTCGAGCCTCTTCCACCGAGATGGCCCCCCGAGCCCCCCGCTGGCCCTCCAAGAGGCCCCACGAGGCCTCCAAGTCGCCCCCCAGAGGCCCCCCAGAGGCCTCCACGAGGCCGCCCCCCCCAGCCTCTCACATGCCCCCAAGAGCTCTCCAATAGGCCCCAGAGAGGCATCCCACGAGACCCTCAGATTTATCCATGAGGCCCCGACACGAGATGTAACTCCCACGAGCGTCTTACACACTCACTCGCGAGTGAGAGCGGCAGCGCTGGGTCCGCGCGGCGCGCGCTTCCCTCCAGGGGCTGCCGCAGGCCCCCCGGGGGCGCCCGAGGGCGCGCCTCCCCTCGGCAGGCCGCGTGCGAAGACCGACCCTCTCGGACTGCCTACCAGACCACCCCAGCCCAACCCGAAGACCCGAATTTCGGGTTGGGGGGGGGTATGGGCTCCAGATGTATTTTTTCGACGTTCCCGGACCCCCCCACCCACTAGAAATCGAGGGTAAATCTGAGCCTTCGGGTTGGCTTGGGGTGGTTTGGTGGGTGGTGACTCTCGCCCCTCCGAACAAGGCATCCAGCGGCTCGAGGGCATCGAGGGCTCGGCAGCCTTCCCGTCGGCAAATCGTCGGGGCCGCGGGGGGGCCGCGCGCGGGGGGCGCCTTCCGCCTGCGAGGCGGGAGCGCGCTCCCCTCACAAAACCAAGCTGTGCCGCAACGGACTCCCATGTTGTGGGAGGGAGGGTGGGCCTTTGTGGGCCCCGGAAGCGGCAGGGCCGTTTGTTCACCGCTTCCGCAAAAAAATGCCCCTTGAAAATGGAAACGGCAAAACAAACGGCGACCGGAAACGGCGACAAAAACGGCTCCAGGATTGGAACCGGAGCGGGAACCCGTAACGAAGACGGCGACGGAACCGGTAAACCAACGGCGCCGGAACCGGCAGCAAGAACGGCAGAACGGAACCGGCAACAAAAACGGCCCTGTCGTTTCCAGGGCCCACTAAGGGGGGGTCCAAGAGGGGGGACGCGAATCATGGCCGGCGGCACGTGCGCGGCCCAGGGGGGGGGGGGGGGACGCATTGAGGTAAGAGGAGGCGCCAGGGAACCTGGGGAGATATCATGGCCCCCGCCCAGATCTCCACCCCCCTAGTCATCACCCCCCTCTTGGCCGCCCCCCACGAAGCTCTCGCCCCTCCGGCACAGGGTATCCAGCGGCTCGAGGGCATCGAGCGCTCGGTACCCTGCCCGTCGGCAGGTCGTCGGGGCCGCGGGGCCGCGCGCGGGGGCGCCTTCCGCCTGCGAGGCGGGAGCGCGCTCCCATCACAACCAAAAGGGCCCCGGGGCACACAAAGAAATACACACACATAACAGAATTCCCAATCTTTGTATATATTTTCTGGGTTCTTGTCTTCCCCCCCCTTCCCATATGTTCCCATGTTTTCGGGGGAATCGACAATTAATTGTGTCTGTGATATTGTCCCTCCTGAACAACATCAAGGCCAAGGCTCAAGGCTCCAGGCTCAAGGCTCAAGTCGCGACCCGAGCGCTAGGTGTAAGTCGGGCCTGTCCCTCTACTCTCAGCGTACTGACTCTTAGCACTCCAATCTCACACCGATGGCTTCTTCGGGTGATGGCGGCACGCGACGCGCAGGCACCCCCGTCAGGCAGCTTTTCAAGCAGCATAGGATCCACAGCCCGCTGCACGAGATGGACGACGGCCCGGCAGCAGGAGGTGATGATCTTGTAGCTGCGCACCAACATCAATTCGGAGAAGCTTTGGCAGAAGCAGCTGGAACCGGGACGGCCAACGATGGAGAGGCTTTGACAGTCGGGTACTTCAAGCAGATTCTTCGTGACCAGCTTCAGCCCATACACAACGATATCAGGGCCATCAAACAGCACGGAGTTTCTCAGCGGATTTGAAACAAGCAATCGCCCCAATCCAGCAGGACCTTTCCACTCTGTCTACCCGCGTGGAGTCGTTGGAGCACGCAACCGGCCTATCGTCATTACCTGTGACGTGGAAGCAAAAATGTTGGAGTTAGAACGTCAATTCACTGAGCTCACTACCAACCGCGACAAGGAATGTAATGAAGTCATCGGTGGATTGCGGAATTTTGCTGACTCCGACTCGGCCATCCGATTTCTCACAGAGCAGGTGCGTCTTCTTCAACTTCCAGAGCCTTTGGATGTTTTCGTGAAGGGCGACTTCAACAGCATCCTTTTCGCAAAGTTCGCTACTACCCCAATCCGGGACAAATTTGTGACCAAATTGGGGAAATCGCAATTCAAGCACCAGACAAACACAGTATGGACACGTGCCGACCAGCCCATCGAGAAGCGCGTGCTGGAAAGCTTCCTGTTCGGTCTTCATAAGGCTTTCTTGGGATGGGGCTATTCGAAGGGGGAGGTACGAGTGAACACGAACGAGCACAAGCTGACGGTTGCGAAGGAGACCGTTGTCACAGAGAAGACGGTAAACAATGCTGTGCAGATCCAGTGGGAAGGCGTCTGGGCGAACTGGGACGAGCTCACCAAGAA